GCCACACTGTCTGGCCAGCATGGCATTTTTTCTGAGGGCCTCTCCTTGGCTTGCAGATGGCCATCTTCTTCCAATATATTCACATGGCCTTCCCTCTGTGTGTGTCTGTATATATCTTCTTGAAAGCTGCCTAAATGGGAAGAAAAAACTAATCTTGAAGCAGTATTTTTTTTCAAACTGAGGGTCACAGTCCATTATAGGTCACAAAATCAACTTAATGAGTTTCAGCCAGCATAAGTAAGTACATCACTATATAAAGATAAAATTGTTCGGTAAAACTTCTTTTGCTCTAGCTATGTAAACAAAAATACTGGAGATTAGTCAAAGTTTGAAGCCATTGTAATCTAGAGGGGAAAGAATGGATCGATGTTGGCAGATTAAGGGGCAGCTGGTGGTGATATCTGAGATGAGATTCTGTGTCCTCTTTCCTTAGCTTTAGAAAAGTTAGCTTGGGGCCGGGCGCGGTGGCTCAAGCCTGTAATCCCAGCACTTTGGGAGGCAGAGGTGGGTGGATTACGAGGTCAAGAGATCGAGACCATCCTGGTCAACATGGTGAAACCCTGTCTCTACTAAAAATGCAAAAAATTAGCTGGGCATGGTGGCGTGTGCCTGTAATCCCAGCTACTCAGGAGGCTGAGGCAGGAGAATTGCCTAAACCCAGGAGGCGGAGGTTGTGGTGAACCGAGATCGCGCCATTGCACTCCAGCCTGGGTAACAAGAGCAAAACTCCGTCTTAAAAAACAAAACAAAACAAAACAAAAAAAACCTCTAAAAAAGGAAAAAAAAAAAAAAAAGAAAAGTTAGCTTGGTGTTAGCTTGGTGTTTTGGGAAGATCACAGGTAGGCACTAGAATCAACATTCTGTTCCTAGCCCTGTTATTACTGTCTGTGTGATTTTTGGCTAATTACCCTTTCTGAGTCTCAGTTTCTCCATCTGAAAAATGGTAACACTAATATCACTCATTTTACAGGGCTGATGTGCTCAATAGACTATGATTTACTCCCGGCTAATTGCCCCATCTTATTCATGTTACTACAGTATTTCTAGTGGTTCCGATATCCCTGCTTCCTGCCAGGAAAGAGGAAAAAGGGAATTTGCCTGTAGTATTTACTGTGTCAGCTGGGCACTCAGCACAATTTGGCTGAACATGGAATTCCAAATTCCCAATTTCAAATGGGAATTTACAGTGAACGTGTGTCAAAGTTCTGACATCCCATTGCAGCAGGTTTCTTTCCCTTCCTTTCCTCCCTCCCTCCCTCCCTTCTTCCTTCCTTCCTTTACAGAGTTTTGCTCTTGTCACCCAGGCTGGAGTGCAATGGTGCAATCTCAGCCCATGGCAACCTCCACCTCCCAGGTTCAAGCAATTCTCCTGCCTCAGCCTCCCAAGTAGCTGGCATTACAGGCATGTGCCAACATGCCAAGCTAAGTTTTGTATTTCTAGCAGAGACAGGGTTTCACCATGTTGGCCTCAAACTTCTGACCTCAGGTGATCCACCCACCTCCGCCTCCCAAAGTGCTGGGATTACAGGCATGAGCCACTGCGCCTGGTTGCAGTTTTCATTCTATTGGAAGACTTTCATTCAAGATGCAGGCAATTCCAAATATTCCAACTATCCAAGGCCATCGAGCATGCTGCCAGGGGCCCCTCAGCCCAGAGACCCAAATTGGGGATGCTGGTGGGGCTGCTGCAGAATGAACCCGCAACATGCATTTCCCTCTCATTCTCACAGCTTCTCTAAGCAGCTCACACGATTGCTCCTTGGGAGTCCAGGGCTTCTAAAGTTGCCCAACCGGAATGGGAAGAAACACGCCCTGAAGGCCTGGTGTGGCTAACTCTGCCCCTCCCAATCCCTGTGGGCAGGGCTGGCAGCACCGTGGGAATGTCCCACTTGTCAACGCCTGAACCCGACAAGGGTCTAGCCCTTTGAGCCCCACACCCAAGTAAACCAAAGCCCAGGACTGAGGGTGCAGTTACCCTGGATCTCATTTGGGCTGAATCAGCAGAAAAGGGGTTCCAGGACGGGAAAGGAAGAGCAGATGGGAGGAGAAAGAGGTATTTATTAGTTACCACGTGGCTCCCATGACCCAGACCCAGCTTCCCAGGGACAGAAGCCCAGAAATGAGCACCTTGCCAAGCTGTGAGCTGTTTCCCAAGGGCAGCCCCAACAGCTGTGGGTAGGGAAGAATAGGGAGCGCAGAAGTCTCCCATAAGAGACCAGCTCAGGAGAAGTTGATAGCATAGAAGGAGTTGCTGGTTCCTGAGAATTAAGCAGGGCAGGGAATCGCGGAGGATGGGTTTATCTCACCCATGGTGCTCATCTATTGTGGAGGCTCCCTCAACACTGTTCTGAGCCTCCTTCCTGCTTCATGTGGTCAACCAGATTCTTCTCTTTGTCTAGCCCAAAGCTCCATCCTCAGCCAATCGGAGCCACGGAAACTCAAGGCCATTTACCCTCCCCTTCAACAAATATTTGTGGAGTGTCTGCCACGTGCCTGGTGCCAACGAGACAGCCATTACTCCTTCCCTCTAGAGGCTTACAATCTGGCGGGAGAGGAACAAGTATGGAGAGAGTGCAGGGACACCGCGGAAAAAAAGACAAATACTGAGTTATAAGTGTTGTAATAGCGGGCGGTAACAAGACGCTGTGGGAATACACAAAATAAAACAAGGACGCCAAATCGCGAGAGTTTGTGGGTTTTACAGGGACATCTGACAGCAAACATTCCAGGGTGTGACGGAGAGGTGGTGAGGAGAGATGATGGCATTGAATTGGCGAGATGAGCTGAGATGAACTGCGAAGAGGACGAGGGAAAGCTAGTGCCCTGGAGATTGGGGAAGACGATGGGATCCACCGGGCTGGGAGGGTTAGGGTGGTGTAGAGGGGAGGCAGCCAGAGCAAGGCAGACACCGGAGGCCAGGGCGGAAGGGAGGCGCACGGACGACACCAGGAGCTCTGGAAAGTTGTCAGAGGCGGCGAGGGGGTGGGGAGCGGGCCCTACACGTGCGCTACGTGCAGCGCCGGCCGCTGGGGAGCCCGGCCTGCCCGCCTCGTCCCCGAACCGGTCCCAGGGCAGTTGCACGGCTCCAAGGGGAGTGAAAGGAGGATGTCCCCCCAAGTTTGCAATCCGGGAGCGTGGTCTTCCCAACGCGGCTACCGGAAGGAAGGCGGGAGCGCCTCATCACCACGCGGGTGGATCTAGGGGAGGAGGCTGCTGATCTGGGGGCGCAGGCTGGGGAGCGGGGTGCAGCCGGTTGGGGACGTGAGGTGTGGGAGCTGGATGAACAGGATGAGGATGGAGACACCTAGGGATGCGTCCAAAGAATCTGGCGCTGCACAGAAGGGGGCGGTTTGGGGGACGGAGGCCCGGGCGGGGGCGGAGTGTTGTCCTAGAGTAAGGAGGGGGTTCCTGGAGACGTGGCACTCGGAGCAGGGCTGGGTTCCGCTCCGGCCGCCTGGGCTGCAGCCCCGCTTTGCCCTGGGAACCCGAACCTGACCCCGCCCAGGCCTCGCTCCCAGCGCTCCGGGAGCTCCGGCCCGGCACCTCCAGGCTGGGGTTGCCCAGGTCCGGCCTCTGGGGTGTCCAGCCTGCCCTAGACGAGACAATGCGGCCCCGGCCCCGCCCCCGGAGGCTGACGCGCCCGACCGCCGGCCAATCAGCGCCCGCGGCTAGGCTCTTTAAAAAAAGAAGGGCCGGCGCGGTGTGGCTGTCAGCTGGGAGGGATCCCTCCGCCCATGTAAACATCATAAAGGGCACGGGGAGCGTCTGCGGCGGGCGGGGGAGTGGGTGCCGTCCCGGAGGCTTCTCGGTCCCCAGGTCCCCTCTGGACGCCGGCAACCGCCCCTCCCTTAACGTCACGCCGGGTCCGTTGGGAGCCAAACAGCTTCGGCCTGATCCGGGAGCAATAGAATCTCATCATTTGGGGTCACTACCGGAAATGAAGGAAGCCACACTGGGAGACCTTGAGAGTTGGGAGCGAGAGGGGAGCGTAGGACGCAGCTGATAATTGGGAAAGATTTTCTTAGGCTTGTTCTTCCCGGGTACCTCGGTTAAATAACAGTCATAACTCATATGTGTCCAGAATTTTTCTCAAAGTTATGCCTACCTGGCTTGTAGGATATCAACGTTAAGGGTCAAAGTAGTCAACGCTTTCCCGAGAGAGCACATGACAAGACATAATCTTCACCAAGACCCTGAGAGGCACAGAATGCCCCCCAAAGAGCCATTTTCTACCCAACTTTTTATTTGGAATTATCAAATGTTCAGTAAAGTTAAAATAAATTTGCAGCAAAATCCTCTATACGCACTACCTAGATTCCATTATAACTTGCCACATCGCATATCTACCTTGCACTGATCGTTCTAATAGTGTGCTAGCTGTCCCCTGAGCTTGCTTCTCCATTACAATGGGGAACAAGAAAGGCTCCAGGTCCCAAAGCCCTAGAGGGCTAAGGACTACGTTTTCCCAGGACCACTGTGAACTCTTTTTCCTCTGGGGAAAAAGTTTGTTGAAGGGGAGGCGGTTTTCCTTTCTCCCTCATGCCCTCCCTTCCCCCTTTTTAATTGAAGACTTCTTAAGGATAAGAGATTTCCTTCTACTAGGTGAATCTGAAAGCAGAACTAAGATCTTGACAAACAGACCTTGCATAGGTTTGGCTGCTTTCTGGATGAAAGAGGTCGTTTCAACGTTGATGTTCTACGGTTCGAGCTTCCTCTCTCTGCTTTTCTGAGGCTGGACACCCCCCACTCACCCCCGATCCCCGCCAAAAAAAAGGCGCCTCAAACGTGTTCATATCTCTTGAAGTTCGTTCGTTAACCTCCCTTTGCCTCCGTTGCCTGCTCTGCAAAATGAGGATAATATCGTACCTACTCACTATGGGGGTTGTGAAGACTCAGAACAGTGCTTTACACACAGCATTAAACAGCGGCTATCACCCGTATGCAAATAGCTCCCAGGTTTATATCTCCAATCCTGAGCTCGCCCCTTCAAATTTATACCCTTCAGCCCGTTGAAGGATGCCCCGTTGGGTATCTAGCTATATGTACCAGAGACACCTCAAACTCAACATGTCCAGAAATGAACACAGTATCTTTTTCCTTTGAATAACTCGCCTTGTGTAAATAATCGGGGTGAATGTCCCAGCAATGCCAACGAGCTAGCTTCTACTCAGGCAGGTACATCAGACACCTGAATCTTAATACCTCATCTTCCCTCCTCAATCTGTCACTAGGTCCTAACTTTATTTCCTACCTTTCCATCCCTTGCTCATAATCATCAGCACCACTGCCTTAATTTAGGTCCTATAATTTCTTGTCTGGATTATTTCAAGACTCTTTTGCCCCTCTCAAGTCTGACCTTGTCATAGATTGTGGATGACTGTTTTTCCTGCAACATCTCCACCTCCCAATAGTCTCCATCACTTATTAGCCATATGCACTTTGGCAAATTGCTTAATCTACCTGTGCCTCACTTTCCTTATTTGTAAAGTGGAAGTAAGAGTACCCACCTCATAGGGTTGTGTGATTAATCATGCAGCAGAACAGTGCCTAGGATATGAAAGTGCTCAAAAGTGTTACATTATTATTATAATTACTATTATTGCCTTTTCACGAACATACCTGTTTGTATGTTCAAGCTGTTATCTCTACTGGAAAATTCTTCTCCATTTCTAATACTCTTTCCAAAACCCCCTCCTGGGTTTTACTGCACCCACCACTGTGTACTGACATGATTGAATGATTGGCTTATGGGACTGAGCCTTTCTACCAGACTTAACTTCTTCAGGGCCGGAACTCTGAAACGTAGAACGTGTCCAATAAAAGTTGGCTCAGCTGAAACCCTAAGGATAAACTCCAGCCACGGCGAAAGGCGCGGCCCCGCCCGATTCGGGGGCGGGGCGGGGAGCCCTGCGCGGAGGGTGGGCGGCTGGGGGTGGGGTGGGACTCTTTTTCCTCGCCGTGGCGGCGGAGGCGCACGGCGTGGGCTTGCGGCGAGACGGCGTCGTCGGAGGCTGAAAAAGCCCGAGGTGCTGCCGTTGCCCGTACAACTCGGACGAGCTGTCGCCCGAGCTGCGTCTGCACGGGTCTCGGGCCGAGCGGAGCCCGCAGCCTCGGTCCCAGAGCCCACCCTGCCCTCGGTCCTGCCCAGCCTGCGGTGATGGAGCCGGCCACCGCGCTGCACCCGGGCCCGCGCCCGGCGCTGCCCCTCGGGGGCCCGGGCCCGCTGGGCGAGTTCTTGCCTCCCCCCGAGTGCCCGGTCTTCGAGCCCAGCTGGGAAGAGTTCGCGGACCCCTTCGCTTTCATCCACAAGATCCGGCCCATAGCCGAGCAGACTGGGATCTGTAAGGTGCGGCCGCCGCCGGTGAGTCACGCCAGCACCCCGGATCCAGCTCGCGGCTGGGGGAGGGAGCGGGGACGCGCGGGGCCGGGGAGGCCCGAGGCGCGGGGGTGGGGGAGCCGGTCGCCCCGCCGGCCTGGTCAAGTTTGGGGCTGCCTAGAAGGTCGCATTTGAGGCCGGGGGAGGAAGACGGGGGCTTCTCCAGGGTCGGAGATGAGGAGCGTGGGAGAACCAGGAGCTTCGGCGGTGCGGCTGGAGGGCCGGGTCGCCGCGGGGCTCTGGCGGCCGGGAGCACGGCCGGGGCCGGGAATTCGGGTTCGGTTCCGGATAGAGTGATGGCAGGAGCCGGGGGTGGTCGCGGGGGAGTTCCCTCACGGAGCCCGGCGGAGGCGCGGGCTGGAGGGGAGGACTGTGGGCCCGGCGAGGCTCGGCAGGCTGGTCCTCGCCTCCGCTCCCGGGGTGCGGGGGTGTGTGATGGGGTGGGGGTGGGGGTGGGGGACTTGCGAGTTGTCGTGCGAGGAGGAAAGTTTTCAATATGGCGGCGGGAGCCCCTGGTCCTTTGTGTGGTGGCGGCGTCGGCCCGGAGCGGCCCTCACCTGGGCGCCCCACCCTCCAGACCAGGGCACCCCTCCACCGCCTGGTCCCTGGGCCTCCAGGTGTCCCCCGGGCCGGGGTCAAGAAGGGGGCGGCCATCGCTGGCTGGGGGCGGGGAGGAGCCGCGGGTCCGGCCCTGGAGCGGATGTGTTGTGGGGGGCGTTAGTGTCTGGGGGACACTTTTGGGGCGGCGGTGGGCCCCATGCCCGCCCGCGCTCCGGAACGCACACACACCCAGCTTCTTCTGGCCCAGCCGCTGGGCTCCCCGGGGAGGCCTGGGCTGCGCTGGTGGGGACGGGGTCGGGGCGAGGCCGTGTTTGTAGGGGAATGTCAGACCGAGAGACCTCCGAAGATTTCGTGCTCGTTTCGCCCGGCCCTCAGCCGCCTGGCGCTGAAAGGCAGCCACCCACCGCGGCCCTTCCAGCCCTGTCTGCCGCGACTCGGACCTGGGGGCCGTGAGTGAGGGGTGGGTGCTGCCGAAACCATCCCTAACGGCTCCAACGTTCGCTGAGCAGAGCCCGGCCAACTCCTTCCCCCGTGGCCGGAACTGGGTGCGCTCCTGCACCTCTGGTGTTTGCCCACCTTTCGGGATGGTCTGAGTCCGAGTTGGCCTAAGCGGCGGTTGGACGGGCTGGGGCCGTTGGGAAGGGGGTTTAACTGCCTTTCCTACTCTTTAAGAGTCTTCTCCCCACTCTCCTCCCCCCGCCCCCCTCTCCTAAGTGGAGGAAGACCCCCTCCCATCCCTCTCTCCCTTAAGCATGGTCTTTGTAATGACATTTTGAGTTGTAGGGATTCGGTTTGTAATCGTTGTGTTTTGGAAAGCTGTTTTTAAGGGAGATCCCTGAAAATAAGGCTGCTTATCCCAACCCTTCCCCACCCCACATTAAAACATGGACACCTACTTTAGTTTTTCTTAAGCAAGTTTGAAAATGGAGGTGAAATATATGCTTCAGAAAATAACTGGCCAGGGAATATGAGGGAAACATTTGAAAATAGATCAATTTCTTACAGTGAAGTGGGCAAGGTTGATTCTTGCTGCTTGCGGGAAGTACGTTTTTTTTAGTGTAAAGAGGCCTGCAGAAGTTTTAACAGGGCTGGTTGGAGCTAAGGTTTTAATTCTTGAGTAATAGGTCATGTTTCACACAGTAGCAATGTTGCTTTAGGTCACAGGCTAGGTAAGGGTGAATATGAATATTGCACATTTGCATTAATAGGATTTTATTCAGAATTTGGGTAACTTGACTAAGTTCTTAGTAACCAAAATGAGGGGAGTCAGGTTCCTGGGAGGTGTCCTCCATGTTGGTATTGTGGTGTACCAGGGCTGGGGTAAATCCTTTATCTTGCTTTCTTGTTCTTTGCCTTTTAGAGGGCCCTTTTCCTGAAAAGATAGTATTGCTCTGGTTAGGCTTGGCTACCCATTTCCTCATCTTGGCTAGAATATTAATGGTGATCTTTGCAAAACGTGTAATTGAATTGCCTTTTTCCCACTCTGAATGTCAGACAGACATGATGGCCACCATTTTGTATTGAGAGCACTACATAGTACAGCCTGAGGAAAGGGGTTAAAGAGGCACCAAGAATCTACAGATACAACCAGTGCTCTGTTTTGGAGACCTCCTTTGTGTGGAGGGGGCTTGCTTCCTCCTTTGTTTAACAAACTCCTGTGCCAAATGGAAAGAGTTTGGGAGTATTTGTTGTTGATAAAACCACAAAAAGGGAAATCTTTCCAGAAGTTGTGCTCTTGAAGAGGGGTCTTGTTGGAACAAAGGCTTCTTAAGAGATGTAAACAGTCTTTGTTTTAGAAACTGTTTTGTTTTTAGGAAAGCTAACTGTGAACAAGTGGTTTCATATAGTTGATATATAGCAACAACAACAAAAAACGATGTGAAATATTTTCCATGGTGATAGCTGTATAATGTCTGCATTTCTGGAGGATTTTTGTTAACTGAGTTTTTGGAACACAAATGGTTATATTAGAAGGGGAATTGGGACTATTGGTATTTTACTTGTTAGAAGCTAAGGGGGAGCATAAAACATTTCTGTCTCCTTTTGTTCTTACCTTTGTAGCTTTACTAATGGTACTTAGTATAGCTTCAGTTTATAGCTGCTTTCTCAGTGAGGCTCCCAAAGTGCTTGGCTTCTGAAAACTTAGGGTGCTTACATTATTTCATTCGTGACAGCTTAGGGATTCTCAGAAATTTGAAAATAGAGTAAGCTAAATGTGAGAAAACGTAATTAAGTCAAGAAGACTATACCAACTCTGAGTTTGAAGTTTAATACAAACCTTTGTTTTAAATTATGTCAACTATGTAGGATAACTAGGCTTGTTTTCTGGACTGAGACCTTAAATTTACAATTAATCTGGCTTCTGGTTTTGTCATCTTTAAAACGCAAATTTTATTTGCTTCCGCAATACTGTACTTAAGATGTCTGTTTAAGGACAAATGATATTTTCCATATCACTTTGTGTTATTTGGAGATGAATAATTTTAAATGTGTAACTGTTAGGCAGAAAAATAGTTGGCTGCTCAGTAAATACTTAGTCTCTCAAATTTTGATAGGAATATGACTTTATCTTGCTTTCAAATGTCTAACATTTGGCCACAAATTCCACAGATTTCTTCATTGTGTCCAGAAAAGGTTTAAATCAAACCCCAGAGGGCACAAGAGACAAAAATTTTTCAGCTTTAACTTCTTGTAGTTACTAGTTTGACTCCTTCATCTTTATAGCTAAGTAAAAAACTGCCCTTAAATGTTTCAATAAGGTCAGCATCTTTGAGTGAGCCTATTGATTCCATTCTTAGAGAAGAGGGAGGAAGTTACTTCTTTGTGCTGTAGAAGTGTTAATGATACAGAGCTCATTTACTCCCATTCCAGCATATCATTCTCCCTAACTTTGGGTTTGATTGACTTAGGCCTAACCCTCTCTGTGTTTTCCCAATTTCTTTGGTGTCATGAAATCTTTCCCTCGTTGTGTTATCTTTGGCTACTTTAAAGTTTTAACGTTTGGAGAAAAGGCTTGGTAGAAACATCCTCGAGCAAAGGAAGAACTTATCACTCCTTAAGAAAAAATCACTTTGAAATATAATTCAAATACCGTACAGTTCACCAATTAATGATGTGCAATTTAGTGTTTTTTGATATTTTCAGTCACACAACCATCTCCACAATCAATTGTAGAACATTTTGTTCTCCCTCAAAAGAAACCCTGAACTCACTTGTAACTACTTTTTAAGGCAAATTTAGGACTATACTGCCCAGGAGAAAAACTTGGTAGGAGGTTGGATTAAGTCCTGCAGTTCCAGGTCACAAACATCTACCTTAATCAAAGCAAAAACAAACTTTATTTGTTGTAGTTATTGAATGGGTGTTTAGCTAATTTGACTTTGCCAGTGATTGGGCACATCAGTAGCCACAAATGTATCTACCCACATATAATTCTTAGTGAACTAATCAACAAAACTTGTAGACTTTAAAAATGGAACCTGAATGATATTGCAAATATATGAGTTGACAAAAGATTCAAGTCCCCTATCCTATCCCTGTTGGAAAAAAAGCCTTCCCTTATAGGATATGGTTTTAAACAGGCAATCTAAACTTTTTTTTTCTTTTTTTTTTTGAGACAGAGTCTCACTCTGTTGCCCAGGCTAGAGTGCAGTGGTGCGATCTTGGCTCACTGAAACCTCTGCCTCCTAGGTTCAGGTGATTCTTCTGCCTAGCCTCCCTAGTAGCTGGGACTACAGGCACATGCCACCACGCCCAGCTAGTTTTGTGTTTTTTTGTTTTTTTTTTTTTTGGTATAGATGGGGTTTTACCATCTTGGCCAGGCTGGTCTTGAACTCCTGACCTCATGATCCACCTGTGTTTGCCTCTCAAAGTGCTGGGATTACAGGCGTGAGCCACCAAGCCTGGCCCAATCTAAACTTTTGAAAGAGGGGGAAATGAACAGAGAATTACCTTTGAAAAACATTAATAAATGTTATCTATTAAAAGCCAGGGCTTGAAATTTCCTTTTTTTTTTTTTTGAGACGGAGTTTCGCTCTTGTTACCCAGGCTAGAGTGCAATGGTACGATCTCGGCTCACCACAACTTCCGCCTCCTGGGTTCAGGCAATTCTCCTGCCTCAGCCTCCTGAGTAGCTGGGATTATAGGCACGCGCCACCATGCCCAGCTAATTTTTTGTATTTTTAGTAGAGACGGGGTTTCACCATGTTGACCAGGATGGTCTCGATCTCTTGACCTCGTGATCCACCTGCCTCGGCCTCCCAAAGTGCTGGGATTACAGGCTTCAGCCACCGCGCCTGGCCTGAAATTTCCTTTTTTAAAAAAATTTCACTCTTGTCACCCAGGCTGGCATGCAGTGTTGCAATCAAGGCTCACTGCAGCTTCCACTTCTTGGGCCCAAGTGCTCCTCCCTCCTTAGCCTCCAA